TTTATGCCCTTCACCATGTCAAACACCTTTTGCCCATACCCCGTCCTTTCCGTCTCGTCAGTTTGAGGCTCGTCCTGGCTGTCGAAGTATGGATTCATCGAAGGATGCCGATACCTGTGCTTCTGAGGGAGGAATCGCCTATGCCTCATGTACACCATCTTCTTGGATGCACTAAGGTAAGTATAGCAGGTACCATCAATGCAAACTACGCAACCGGTCTTCCCTTTAATCTGCCCCGACAGTGAAAAAACACCAGGGTAATCGGTGATGGTGACAAAGATGATGGCTTTTAGAGTGAACTCCTTTAGGGACGCATCCATCATCTGGACCCCTTCCTCCCATAGTTTCTGCATGTCCTCCATCAATGGCTCCAGGAACACATCTATATCATTGCCGGGCTGCCTTGGTCCTAAAATAAGCATGGTCAGTAGAAGATACTTGCGCTTCTGACATAGGTGCGGAGGTAGGTTGTAGATGGTGAGGGTGACCGGCCAGGTGATGTGCGAGCTGTTGAGGTCACCGAAGGGATTCATTCCATCGGTACTCAGCGCGAACCTGACGTTCCTGGCCTCGTCCCCAAAATCTGAGAACTTGGCATCGAAACGCTTCCACTGCTTGCCATCGGAGGGATGTCGCAGCTGGCCATCGTCCTTCTAACGTTCAGCTGATGCATGCTAGGACATGAGCTTGGCATCCTCTGGGTTCCTGAATAGTGCACGCAGCCGATCGATGACGGGCAGGTACCACACCGACAGGGCAGGACTTTTCCTCTGTGTGTAACCCTCTTCTTCGTCGTCCTTGAGAGGTGGCTGCTTCTTGGCCATCTTCTTCTTCTTCGACCCTCTCAAGGGTCCCTCCTCATCATCCGTGCGACAACCAACATTCTTCTTGTACCGACTCGCGCCGCAGTGCGGATAGCTCTGCAAATTCTCGTACTTGCCCCGATATAGAATACAGTGGTTAGGACATGCATGGAACTTTTTAAGCTTTATCGCCACTGGCCGGATCAGCTTCTTCACTCGATAGGTATTGGCGGGCACCTTGTTACCCTCTGGGTATGTGTCACCATGGATACGTAATAGGTCGTTGAAGCTAGTGTCGGCCCACCCGTGGCGAGCCTTCAGCATCAGCAACTGGAGGTTGAAATGCAGCGCCGTCCAATGCTTTGGACATTTGCTGCTGTCCTTGTAGAGGGGATCAATTGCCGCCTGCTTCATCTCTCTGATATGTGTTTGAGACAGTCAGCAACCTCCTCAAAAAGCTCCGCATCCTCGGGCAACAACGTATCAACCGGGTCACCATTCCCACTGCCATCATCGTCTCCCATGTCTTGGAGCAGATCACTCATTGTGATGTACTAACGACTCGCATTGTCGTCGTCGCCGGCAGCTGCTGCTCCTACTGAGGGTTGTTGTCCTCCGTCATTCACCGCCGCCGTCGATGTCATCGACGAGGAGGTTCCTCCAGGTGCATCGATGACACTCGGATCTTTTTCGCCGTGATCCTTCCACAGAGTGTACTTCGGATCCTTGATGAAACCATACCGTAACAAGTGAGATTGCACCACGTTATCTTCCTGGGCAAGCCGATTCTTGCAGTCATTGCATGGACAAATCATGCGATCTCGACCCAGACTCAGACGATGCTTCTGCGCAAAGGGGAGGAACTTCTTCCTCACATTTTCCAGGAAAGACAGATCTAGCCTAGATGCCTTGTACATCCAATCATCCCTGTCCATGACCGTGACCTTGTAAACGCAACGAAAAGTCATATTAGCAGAGCGGTATAAGAAAAATGCATCGGAGTAGCTCTAGATCTGTTATTCTCTCTCCTCTATTTAGATCTAGATCTAGATCTAGTGAAAAAGCACCTAAATCATGTAAAAGAGAGGAAAATGAGAATTGGAGAGTAAGAATCAACCTCTTGCAGTGCCCCTCTTCACCAAATCCAAGGGCAAAACCTCCCCCCCCCTAAAATGGCCACTTTTAGGGTTTTGAGCTCAAAACCCTAAAACATGGAGGTGGAGCAGCGGAGAAGAAGGGCTGCGTGTGGTGGTATTATAGGTACAGACTTAACCGAGGCGGTCACCTTAAAGCAACCGCCTCGGTTAACAGCATAACGGAGGCGGTCATGTTAGGCCAACCGCCTCGGTTAATAGGCATTAACCGAGGCGGTTAAGTTAAGGCGCCCGGTTGATGGCCAGCAGCCCAGCCTCGGCCGGCCTCGATTCACCGAGGTGGTTTGCTGGGGCGCCCGCCTCAGTAAACAAATGCCAAACGCCTCGCAAAAAGAATTACTGTAGTAGTGACACCGGCAGGAACTTCTGCGAGCGCAGGGAGAGACTAGAGGCCGGGCTGGTGCGTAGCAATGATCTCGTGTCGCGCCTTGCCGCGTGGCGAGAGCACAGCGACGAGAGCCTCTGGGACATGGTCACCAACTTCCTCCTAGCCGGCCACGACACTATCTCGTTGGCACTGAGCTGGTTCTTCTAGCTGGTGTCCGGCCGGCCCGACGTGGAGGACATGATCGTGCGCGAGCCAACGTCGTCGGGCTCCGCCGCCGCCGATGCGGTCAGCACATGCCTCTATAATTCTATGCTTGAATAAAAATAAGCAAGATGTACGGTGCTTGAAAAAAATAGGCTGCATTGTCATGCTTGAAAAAAAATAGGCTCTATGATTGCTAAACTGTGCATTTGACGCTAGGGGTAAAATTGTAATCTCGCCTAGAAACCAAAGGAATTTAGTTTTAGCGCCAAATAAGCAAGTTCGGCAAAAAAAAAAGAGCCAAGAAACTAAGAGGCACTTTTTTAGGGCCAAGGAAATAATTTGCTCTACATAGATCGATTCCCACTCGTGTCAAACACGTATACGTCCAACTAATTAGTAATGATTTACGTGTATATCAAAAGTGTAAATGTATACTCCCTCCATTCCACAATATAAGTCGTTATAGGATGCATGCAGATCAAATTTTCTCGACTTTGACTAGGTTTGTAGAAAATATGTGTAACATTTATATCTCCAAATAAATTTATTATGAAATTATATTCAACGATCTATCTAATGATATCAATTATATATTATAAATATTAATATTTTTTATATATAATTGGTCAAAGTTTTTTAAGAAAAGCTGACTTCTCAGGAAACGAGGACGACTTCTAAGCGAGTACGATCGTTTTACCGTTTGTAAGTTACTTATTCTGATCCAAGAATGCAAGTTATATTCAGATTTTTGTACCTTTGACTAATAACATACCAAGAAACATCTAATAGGCTGACAATGTAAGATCAACGTTGATATATTCATCTCGCGGAACGCAAAATGCAGTGATATATTATATGCATTCCCTGTTATTGAAAACATTATGTTCTCTAGAATTTTATAGTAAAAAAAAGTGCTATATAGGCCAAGATGCGTCTGATGTAATGAACGATTTATTTTTTCTGAGCTTAAGCATATGCTAACTTCATATTTGTCATTTGTGTAAATTTATGTTGAGTAATATACGTTGCTTACTGGAGTTTTGTGACAACCGATAACTGATCCAAGGTGGTTATTAACTACATCCATACTAAAATACAATGTATTATAATTTTGTCTTCTTGGGCTAAATTTCTCAAACTTTAATCAAATTTTGAAAAATCAAAATATATAATATCAAATTAGTTTCATTAAAACCACTATAAAATTTGTTTTCTCGGTCCATTAATTTGCTATATTAATAGATTTTTTTCTATGAACTCTGCCAAGATTGAAGAAGTTTGCCTTAGTACGAAACTAAAATACCTTACATTTGAAACATAAAAAGAGTGATAAAGTGTGGCACACTGGGTGATCTGTGGCTACAAATCAACATGGTGGACTTTAAAAAAACAAGGTGGAGTATAGTGCACATCCACTTTGTGGGTGACGATGAGTACATTTTTGGGCATTAACGATCATGCGCTCATAGAGTGCTTTAGCTAGTCACGATGAACGGTGGCAACAAGCTAGTCACTGGCTAAGGCCTTATTTGGATGTATTCAGTTTGACATCAATCTATATGTGTTGGGGTGGATTGAGGTATAATTTAATTAAAGTTCTACTTAATACGGACTGTATGGACAGTCGCTCGGTCTATTGATCCACGCAGTACGCACACACGGTGCTGCGACGAAGAGCAATAACCAATAGTTCTAAGTTTCTTTTGTCAATTTATCAGTCACATCGATGGTTAATTAGATGCTGCGATGAGGTGATGGGAGGCAGTCCCTTTTCATGGCCTCCGGGAGCCAGTGGTAGGCACGTACAAAAGCCGCTCGGCCATGCAACGCGGCGCCCTGCATGCACCGCTGTAGTGTGTCGCTTGCCTCCGCCTCCGATCCACCACCTTCGATTCCACGCCCACACCACCCGCACTTAAAACCACCCGCGTGTATCTAAACCTCTCACCCCATTGGTCGCCGGCCCACAGACCTGGAAGGCTGGAACCAGTAGCCACGTACTAGCTCCATTCTCTACCTGGCTGGTAGATCTCTTCCTGCACGGACGAGGCCAGGCAGACGTCACTAGCTAGCTAGCTATGGTGACCATGGGGAAGAAGAAGCAGCCGGCCGACGACGAAGAGAACTGCTACGGCGTCGGCGGCGCCGACGCCCAGGGCAGGGCGACGGATCTGCGCCCTCTGGCGCTGTCGTCGCCGTACACCCAGGCGTTCCACCTCGCCTAGCTCTCCCTCTTCGCCTGCTTCTTCGCGGCCTTCGCGGCGCCGCCCATCCTCCCGGCGCTGCGGCCCGCGCTCGTGCTCGCGCCCTCCGACGCCTCCGCCGCCGTCGTGGGCTCCCTCTCCGCCATGCTGGTCGGATGGCTTGCCATGGGGCCCGCGCCGCGCGTCCGGGCTCGCCGCGCTCGCCGTCGCGGTCACCGCGGTCGCCGCATCGTCGCCCGCGGGGTTCGTCGCGCTGCGCTTCGTGGCGGGCCTCTCCCTCGCCAACTTCGTCGCCAACCAGCACTGGATGTCGGGCATCTTCGCGCCCTCCGCCGTCGCGCTCGCCAGAGCCGTCGCGGCCGGCTGGGCCAACGTCGGCAGCGCCGCGGCGCAGCTCGTCATGCCGCTAGCCTACGAGCTCATCCTCCGCCTCGGCGTGCCCATCACCGTCGCCTGGCGCGTCACCTACCTCCTCCCCTGCGCGCTCCTCATCGCCACGGGGCTCGCCGTCCTCGCCTTCCCCTACGACGACCCCCGCGCGGCGCCAGCGTCGGCGGCGGAGCCAAGACCGGCAAGAGCTTCTAGAAGGTGGTGTGCGGAGGGGTCGGCAACTACCGCGCGTGGGTGCTCGCGCTCACCTATGGCTACTGCTACGGCGTCGTGCTCATCATGGAGAACGTGTCGGCCGACTTCTTCCGGAAACGTTTCCACCTCCCCATATGGAGGCGGCGGGCGCCGCCGCGGCGTGCTTCGGCGTGATGAACGCGGTGGCGCGGCCAGCGGGCGGGGTGGCATCGGACGCGGTCGCGAGGCTGTTCGGGATGCGCAGGAGGCTGTGGCTGCTCTGGGCCGTGCAGAGACCGCCGGGGCGGCACTTTGCGTGCTGGTCGGCAGGATGGGCGCAGCGGAGGCGCCGTCGCTGGCGGCCACCATGGCCGTGATGGTGGCGTGCGCCGCGTTCGCGCAGGCCGCGTCGGGGCTCACCTTCGGCATCGTCCCCTTCGTCTCCAAGAGGTAAATCGAACAAGCTTCTTCTTTGAACATCTATCATGCATGTTTCATCAATCAAATTAATTACCTAAAGATTCTTTTGTGTTTGGTTATTTAGATGGCTAGCAAATAGGTCCGTGCGTTCCAACGGGAGAAAAAATTAAACATTCATAGAAAACAACAACAAAATATTATATATCTATTTATGTTTAACCATTTTTATAAAATTTAAAAGCTATAATGATCATGACATCCTAAGCAATTATATGATAATGTCCTACTTAGATGTATCGAAATAAAATACAACATTGATAAAAAAAAACTTCTCCCTTTCCAAAATAAATATATATATATATAACTTTATTTTTTATATTATTTAATTATTTGAATTGATTAATTGGACCATAGTAGTACTATTCTATTAGTTAACGATCTCGGCTCTGTGAGTTCTTTCTTCCGTGATGAACTGTCGGCACCAATCCTACATTTTTCCTCTGTGGACCGAGGAGAAAGGGGGCTCAGCAGGAAGAGGATTGTACCATGAGAGAAGCACAGAGGTCAACCCGCTTCAAATATGGAACATGGATTCTGGCAATGCAACGGAGTTGGGTCCTCATATCGATCCGAATGAATCAGTCTTTATACAGAGGTCAATCTTTGCCTATTAGGCAAGAGGATAGCAAGTTCAAAATTCTGTCTCGGTAGGACATGAATTTCTATTACTATGAAATTCATAAATTAGTTAATGGGAGGGCTACCATTATCCTTTTTCTTGTATGTCTTCCTAAGAGAAGGAATTTGTCCATTTCATATTTCGAGATCTCAAAAAAAAAAGCATGGAAACAGATAGAAACTCTTGAATGGAAATTGAAAAGAAATATAGCCCCAGTTCCTTGAGAAATGGTAAGATCTTTAGCGCAAGAAGAATGGACGATCCATATCATCTTGACTTCATCTTGACTTTCATAATAATATTCGGACCTGATCGAACTCCTAACATGGATATCACGTAAGTGTACCATGATAGTCTTCTCGTGCACGTTATACCACGTATATGGTTAAATCACCGCTGTCCAAAATTAATCCTAAATGGACTTGGTCCAGCGGCTTTTCCCGTGACCATCCCATATTCCTATTTGGTCACGTCTTGCTCATGGAGATCGATATGGAGACTCTGTTATTTCCTTCCACGTAGCATCTCCAAAAGTCTGAAATAATTCTATTGCTTATATTTCCTTGAATTCGAAACACAGTAGCACCTCCGCTTCTCGTGCTTGCCCATTTTAAATTTAGGTGTCAACATACACGACCCAATACGTTTTGGAATCGGACTCCGTATCGCGCTAAACAAGAGTTATTGTAACTCGTATCAGCATGGGTTATATATATAACTTTGGTCGGTAGAAATTCTTCATTATCCGGTAGTTAGAAGGAGACAGACAAAAAATAGATGAAGAGAAATTTTATCTCTTTATTATTAAGTATAAATATGGATACAGATATAGATAAATCTTAAATTACAGTGCGTTTGGTTTGCGTCATAAAGCCAGGCAGAATCATCCGATCCTACTACCGAACATAGCCCAGCCATTTGGTTTGCATCATATTATCAACTCGTCCGACATGAAGCAGTTCTTGTAGCGATTGAATATGCCCTTGTTTAATTTCTCCATAAAAACTTTATATCCTATCCTATCGAATGTTTGGACATCTGCATGAAGTATTAATATCGACTAAAAAATAACTAATTACACAGTTTGCGAGTAATTTGCGAGACGAATATTTTAAGCCTAATTAGTCCATGATTTGACAATAAAGTGCTACAATAACACATGTACTAATGATGGATTAATTAGGCTTAATAAATTTGTCTCGCGGTTTACAGACGGATTCTGTAATTTATTTTTGTATTAATATCAAACACCACATGCAACACCCCCGTATAACATACCATGTGACGTCTAAAAACTTTAGACGGAGAAACTATAACTACGGATGCGGGTGAAGTGATTCTGTGATAAAGTGCCAGACGAGTCCATGTCGGACCGGTGCATGCTGCATGAGTTGAACTTTTCAACCAAACAGCCTAAGAGCATCTCCGGCAAACGTGGATGTTGTGTTGTTGGCTGGGCCAGAATCGAAGAGGCCCACTAAAAGGCCCATTAAAATGCATCATCATCGAGTAGTGTTCCTCGATCATTTTGGTTTGGTTCCTACGTTAGACGACCCATATATATCAAGATTATAAAGTTTGGTGTCTCATCTATTCTATCTATACGATGCAAATTGATTAATCTTTACCTACCGATGCTACCTAAATCAGACGGCCTATTTGTTTGTTTGGGTAGCCACCCTGTCGATACAGAATTTTCGTCTCCGTGCCAAGGACACACGCAGTAAGCCGGAAGGATCCGCTCGATGGAGCAGATCTGCCTAGCTTCAGCGCAAGGGTGGTCGATCCTACGCAATCCTCCCGAGACGTGCCAGTCAATTTGACCCTGCAATTGACAATGAGAAAGCTTATCAGTAATTAAGGGCGGAATGTGTCGGTGTTGCCAGACAGTCCTAATTGTGCGGCTCTAAGAGCCGATATGAGAGGAAATCGACTAAATAGTCGATCCCAGCATATTTACAAGAATGAATCGATTAAAGCTCATGGGGTTGTATAAGAAGAATCGGTTATCACTCAGGATAAATGTTATTTAAGCAAATATTAATCAATGACAATAAGATATCAATGATGATCTGTTTGTACTGAGCCAATGATTACAAGTAACCGAACTCCTTTTATATAAAGAAACAATTCAACACTTCTTAACCATTTAATAAAGATAAATCTAATAAACATGTTAGATATCATCTATTGTCATGACTAGTGGGGCATGAGGCAGAATCATGCAGGCCGTAGAAACAACAATAGACTCGACGACTCTAACTCATTACTAATATCAGTGGGGCATGAGGCAGAATCATGTAGGCCGTAATACAATAACAAGATCATGGGACTAACATATCTTTCAACTTATCTCTACTTCAATGATCTCATAATGTGAACTGTTCGTGAAAGCATTCGATATCGGCTAAACAACCGATTCAGGCATAGCACACAGTTAAGGTCATGCCTTCTCAAGAACGGATCTACCAACTAATGATCCCCGCTCCACGGTGCCAATAGTGGGGTGAGAGGCAGAATCCCACAGGCCATGATGATGGGCCATGGAACGGTTTTCATTAACTAATAGATCTACTCAAGATCGGACATGCCTTAACCGCACGCTATGCACGATTAAGGTTGACGCAAAACAGCCGATAAAAACATAACTCATCGCTTAAGATGTAGATTAGATCAGTTATAGATTAGCAAACGATGAATTAAACAAGATATAAGGCCGATCCAGATCAATCTCAATCGGGCAGAGTGATATTGCTGTAATTAGGTAAACAATGAAAGCAATAAGCAATATCGGTAACTTAATGAATCTACCAAAGACTGCCATACTAAGGTAGAGCCGATAACTTGACCTTGATCTAATTCAAGCAGTGGGGTGTGAGGCAGAATCACACAGGCCATACTTGAATTAGACAATAGTTGATAACTAGCTTATACCAGAGTCATAGTGGGGGTCGACCGGATCGATGCAGCCATACGAACAGAGGTATAAACCATGACGGTACTTACAGACAAGCAGTGGGAGTCGATCGGATCGATGCAGCCATACTTGCTGAAGAACTCGTCGAGATCTACTCTACTCCTACTCCTAAGGCGTGGCCGGAGCCGAAAAAAATTAATTGACTTTGTATTTGATTGATTGATTTTTTACAATAGCCAGGGTTTGGTATTTATACCCGAAGCCTAAAAACGAACCCTACTCGAGTACGACTCAATACAATTCTTTGGTATGAAGGAAATATTCCTATCTTAAGATAACTTAGACTCTAATCTTTCCCCTTTTGTAGAGTCCGATATGTATCTTCTTGGCGCCAATCATATCCGGTCATCGTTATCTGCTAACGTCATTCGAAGAGAATGGATCCAGTGTCGCATTCGATCCAGCAAATATCAATCTTTACTCTATCGACTCCTTGATTGGCATAATTCTGGAAGCCTGTGAGTTCGCGCGCTCTTCTTCCAAAATTTGGGGTAAACACATGCCCCCCAATTTTGGAATAAAATAATTTTATCTCGAAATTCCGGTTCACTGGTTTACCACGCTGCAACTGCACCATCCGAGATATATGCGCGACTCCTGACTCCCTGGCCCAAGTTCTATATAACATCCCAACAGTATGTTTTGCAACTTCCTCGGCCTGTTCGCCTTCTCCTTTCTTCGTAAGCCAACTTCAAACAGCCGATGCTGTCATCGCCAAGGCCTCAAACCCTAGCAGATCATCTGTTCCAACGAGCCGTCGTCTAAGCCATCTTCACCAGATCTAAACCAATTTTTGACCGCGATGGCGACCGTCGACCACGTCCCTGAGGTATATCTCCAAGTTTCCATTTTTCTGAGTATCGGCCGCCATCCCATATCTTCTTTCTTCTTGAATTTATTTTATCTAATTTCTAGGAAATGAGGAACAAGATCTTGATTCCATCAGCTGTCGTCCCCAATGCTTACTTTCTTGGACCTATGGGTGATTCTGATCCATCCGATTTTATCCGCCAAAAAACCAACCAGATCCCTTTTAAACAGTTTGTAGTGGATTTATCCTCCTGGAACAAAACTTCCTTCAGAAACTGACCTAACACACCTAAGGGATGGAGAGATTGGTTCTGTAAGATATCTACGAAAAAAGGTGGAGACTGGGAGCTTTATGATCTGAATAAATGCTTAACACTTTCGTTGTCCAAAATGGAGAGGAATGATTCACTTTTGATCTCTGCTTCTTATTTCTGGTCTAATGCTTTGAATGCTTTCATTTTTTGTCACGGCCAAATGACCATCACTCTGGCCGACGTATACATGCTGATCGGCCTTAGGATTACTGGATCGGTGCAACCTTATGAGTATTTGAGTGCCGGTCCCAAGA